GATCCACATGGCCCCTGGTGCCCAGCCAGCACCCGAGAGGTGGAGGCTTTTTCTCCAGCCCAGTTAGAGACGCCAAGGAACCCCAACTGCAGCCTGTTGCCCTGACTCCCACGCCCACCAGCCCAGCATTTCTTTTCTTTTTTTTTTAGTTCTCGGCAGACACAACATCTTTGTTGTCTGTATGTGGTGCTGAGGATCGAACCCAGGCCAAACACATGCCAGGCGAGCGCGCTACCACTCGGGCCACAACCCCAGCCCCAGCCCAGCATTTCATTTGGCTCACAGGGATCCGTCACCTGTCCCTTCCACAGCACACGTCATCTACTACAGTGGTGACATCATGTTGTTTGGATCTGATGGGTAAAGAGCAGCAACCACCCTGGACACTTTAGTAGGACATAGATGTGTTGAAGAGTGGGAGGTAAATTCCACAACAGCCTGGGATCTCCCACCTCCAGAATCCGGGCCCAGCAGGCCGTGTGCCTGACAGTCCTTCCCGGATGGAAGCAGGTGGCTGCACCCAGGCCTCTGGGTGTTGAAGACCAGCAGGAGCCGGTCTGGCCCTTGTCTGGGACGGAGTTTTACCTGTCTCACTTGGACATGCTGCTGCAACCCTATAACTTAGTAACCCAAAGCAAGAGAAGGTTCTGGTCAGGATCAGGCGTGGYACAGGCCAACCCATGTCCAAGAAGCCTTGGCCTGCCCTTCAGGTGAGTCACAGACAGACTCAACCAGCACTGCCCGGCTGGACGGTGATGGCTCTGCCAGACCCTGAGGCTGAACACCCACCCTGGGCCACCATCATAAGAGCCTGGCCACCAAGCCACAGGGCCAGTACGAGAGGCAGCACCCCACAGTGAAGTGACAGGCAGGTGCTGGAGCCCCAGGTGAGGGACTTGCGGATGTGGGTCCTATCACAGTGCTACAGCCCTCTGAAGCCAGGCACCCCAATGGCTTCATGGGCAGCCAGAGAAAGCTCATCCTGAGGGCTGGGGCTGGGGCTCTGTAGAACACTTGCCCAGCAAGTGTGAGGCTCTGGGTTTGATCCTCAGCACCACATAAAGATGAAGGAAATAAATAAAATAAAAAATAATAAAATAAAATACAAATAGAAATTTTATATAGATAAAATAAAAAAGGTTTTGTGTCCCTCTACAACTAAAGGAAGAAAAAGAAAACTCATCCTGAGCACAGACAGTTCTGCATGGCATCCACCCAGAAGTGGATGGCTGCAGCAGAACAGCCCCACTGTGTGGGGGAGGGGGAGGATAGGTAGAGCCCAAATCTCTGGAGAGGGCAGGACAGTGTACAGTGTGCCTGGTTGTGCCTTCTGCGTGGAAGGGTGACAGTGAGAGGCATAGATCTCTGCTGGCTGATAGGCAGGACTGACCTCGGCTGGAGGGTCAGGTGCCTAGAAAGAGCAGGTTATATAAAATCAGTGACAAGGCCGGGGGCCCCCAGTCTGGTACACACAGAAACATCCCTGAATGTGCAGAGTGCAAAGCATGTGCGTGACCAAAGAGCCACTTCAGAAGGGATCTTGATAACTGGGGGGTAGGGAGGGGGCACGATGGTCTCCTTCCCAGGGCCACCTCCTGAGTCAAGGTTGGGCAGTAGGAATGGAGGCCAGGGGTGGCCTCGCTACCTGTACTCACTGGGCACCTGGGCTGATGGCAGAGATGCCCAGGCCCCTCCTGCACCCTGCAGGCCTCAGGCAGGCATTTGAGCCATGGATGCACCTTCCTGCCCGCTTCACTTCTGCCAAAACTACCACGGAGGGACATACAGCGTGTTCACCCACACCACGGCATTCCATACAGCAGTCTGTCTCCAGGCTCATGGCCTCTCGGGTTCCCACAGGACCACCTCTGCAGGTTTACTGCAGACCCCAGCTGAGTGGCAATCCATTCATTTCCTCACTGCCCTGGCGTGTCCAATCCAGGGCTTCCCCCAGGCAGAATTCATGGAGTAGAAATGGCAATGCTTTCTCAACTGTCATTATCCCTTGAGATTTGCTGGTGACATTTTTGCTTCCTGTCCCTGTGACTTTTGGATTCTGCTGATCTGGAGGCCTTAGGTTTTTCCAGGACTTCTCTGGGGTTAAGTGAAAGTTCCATTCCTGGAAATCCCTGCAGTCCTGGGCAAGACCTGGCCACGTGGCCATCACACCTGAGGTTGGACAGAGGGTCCCTCTACTGGCCAGGGTGCTTGGTTTAATGGAGGGGAAGCCCAGTCTTTATCCCAGATGGGATAAGGAGGTACATGGAAGGCAGCAGGTTCCTCAAGGATGTGTCTTGGCACGACTTCTTCCCACAGGAAGTGACTACAGGCACAACTGCTCACAGCAAAGGCCCTGCAGCAATGAGGGCTTGGGTCACCCCACAAGCAGAGAGCCAGATGCTTGCTGCAGGCGAGGGAGCGCCTGCCCCTTACCCCTGTGAGCTGTGTGCACTTGTACTGACCGGTTCTTTTTCTTCCTCTTCCCCTCTTCATTCCCCTATCACGTAACAAAGATATCAACACTGGTTAACATTGTATCTCCATGTTTGTGCTGTTTGACTCTCAAACACTCTCAAGAAGTGCCACTCAACCTGAATATCGAAGGTAAATAGAAACCCGGGCTCAGCCCTCTCTGGAGATGCAGCCTGTTGGTTGAGAGAGTTGTGTATTAAGCCGAGGCATGAATGTGCTGCTGTTGTTATTTGGAAGTTGAATGTGGTTTTCAACAGCCGTCTGCATGCATGCTGATTTTTCAGGAGGGGCTGCTGCAGGTGGTTCTTTTGAAAAGCTACTTAGGCTGGGCCCCTTCCCTCTGTGGTCGGGGCTGGACAGACCCTTCATCTCCAAAAGGCTGTCCCAGCCAGATGTGGTGGCAGGTGGAACAAGTGTGCTGGGCCAGAGTCCCACCTTGTTCTCCCAGTGCTCTGCCCCGGCCCTTCATCCCACCCGCTAGTGTCCAGATATACAGAGTAAATTCCCTGGCTGGGGTCCTTCAAAGGCCATGGGGTTCCAAAAATTCTCTTTCAGCACCCACTTTCCAATGTTTGCTTTCTAAAGATTCCATTAGTGACCCTCAAAGAGTGACCATGCCCGCCTGCTGGAGTAAGCCCTCTCCACTCTATGCCATCTGTCTGTTTCTGCCTAGAAAAACTTAAATTCCATGAAAGGAGGGACCCCCTCAGACACAGTGGCACACACCGGTAATCCCAGTGACTCGGGAGGCTACAGTGGGAGGATGGTAAGGTCAAGGACAGCCTCAGCAACTTGGCAGGACCCTCAGCAACTTAGCAAGATTCTGTCTCAAAATAAAAAATAAAAAGGGCTGGGCATGGTAGCACACAACCTATAATCCCAGCAGCACAGGAGGCTGAGGCAGGAGGATCGTGAGTTCAAAACCAGCCTCAGCAAAAAGCAAGGCACTAATCAACTCAGTGAGACCTTGTCTCCAAATAAAATACAAAAAAGTGTTGGGGATATGGCTCAGTGGTAGAGCATCTCCAGGTTTAATCCCCAGGATGAAGAAGGAGGAGAAGATAGAATGTTAGGAAGAGGAACCTTATCTGCCCTGTTCACTACTGTGCCCTTATGGTATCTGGTTCCTAAAAATACTAGGTAATATCTCTTGGCTGAATTTTATATCAGGGAAAAAACATTAAGTGTATTCAGGGCAACATGGGAGATGTAAGAAGAGTGACATATAGAACACTGTGGTTAAAATAACATTTAAAACACACACAATTTGATATGCAGACAACATGAACGTGAAAAGTACACAACTGACAGGAAGGAAAGGTTTTGAAAAGATRCAACTTGCAAGACAGAGGACAAAATGACACGAACAGTAGACGGTGACCAACTTGAATTTTGAGGGATGGTGGGGCAGTGTTAGAACAAGAAGGCAACCTCTTGAACACTCTTCCCAGCCCTGGGCGGGATCCTGTCTCCAGCTGGGAATGGGACCAACAAGAAGGGGATAAGCAAGACCAACGGAGCACCATCCACACGGGGGTCCTCCCCGCAAAGTTCCCAAGTCAGAATGAGGGCTGAGCTAAGCAACCCTCCTGCAGGTAAGACCTCAGCATCCTCAACCCACCCTCAAGAGAGGTCAGCCCCTTGGCCCATCCCCGGTGCCAGTAGGCCTCTAACTGCCTCCCTCTGCTGCCCCCACCACCAGCTGCCAGGTAGGGCCCTTGCCCTCCAGGGGGAGGCCGGTGCTTTGGGGACCCTTCACGGCCTGGCCTGCACCAAGCACCGCAGACAGCCCCACTCCTCATCCCTCCACCCCACGTGTCCTCCAGTTCCACACTTCCCTCTCTCTTCTCCATTTTATCTGAGCCCCATTCTTTCTGGTCTCCCTGTGTCCAGGTTTTCTCCAAACTCCCAGACCAGGCTTCCGCATCTCGGGCTGCCAGGCACCTGGGCCAGGCTCCTGGAGTTCCCCAGCCCTCCGCTGTCCTCATCGCCCCAAGCCCCTAGTATCCTGCACCGTACCAAAGGGATCCTGCGTCCCTCGACCCCCGCACGTCCCGGTCTCGTCCCCGCGCGCGCGGGTCGGCGCAGCCCAGGTGGATGCGCGCGTCGCGTGGATGGAGACGGCGGCACACCCTAGCGCGCCGCCCCGCCTCCGCGTGCTGCGGATTGGCTCCCCGCGGGCTGGCCAGGGCCGATTGGCTTGGGCCGCGCGGCTGCCGGGCCCGTTTCACGGTGGGTAGCACCGCAGCGTGGATGCTGCTCGGTCCCGCCGCCGCCCGGGAGGAGAGTGGAGCGGGAGCGGCCGGGCGGGGCCGGCGGGAGCGCCTCGAGGAGCCGCTCCCGCCGCCCACCCCGGGCCCGCGGCCAGGGCAGCCTGGGGGTCGCGGCTGCACCGGGTGGCCGCGGGCGGCGGACAAAGGGCCATGCGGGGCCGCGGACGCTGAGCGCGGCCGGGCGGGCCGGGGGATGCGGCGCGGGGCTGGCGGGACCGGGGGGCCACAGCGACGCTCCTGAGCTCGGCGGCCGCGATGCCGTGGTTCCCGGTGAAGAAGATCCGCAAGCAGATGAAGCTGCTGCTGCTGCTGCTGCTGCTCACCTGCGCCGCGTGGCTCACGTACGTGCACCTGAGCCTGGCGCGCCAGGGCCGCGCGCTGCGCCAGCGGCTGGGCTACGGGCGAGGTACGCGGGGCGCGTGGGGACCGGGGAGGCGAGGGGCGGATTGGCGACGGCCCCGGCCTCCAGCGGGCGGCGAGTCTGGCTGGGCCGAAGTGCCTGGAGACCCTGCTCGCCCGCTCCTCCCAGCTGGGGGATCTTGGGGGAGGGGGCACGGTTTGGCCTGGCGGGACGCCCGATGACGTCAGCCATGACGCGCTGGACCCTCTGGGGGTTCGTCCCAGACCTGGGCGGAACCTAGGATCTGGCTGGATCCGGTAGCGATGGGGTTAAAGGTGGGATCTTGGCAAGTTCTCCACCCCAGCCCCAGAGGCCTATCGGGCCAGACCTCCACCACTGGCCTACTTAGCAGGACCTCAGTTTCTCCATCTGCTAGGGAGACACCCAGAGATCCTGACCCGAGGGCAGAGCCGCGGGAGTGACCCCTGCGTTTGGAAGGCTTCTGGAAGGGTGCCCTGGGTACACCTGTGCACCATGGAGCTGAGGCTGGTGCTGCCTGGTGCTCACACACCAAGTGGGGCAGTAGAACCCACAGAGCAGTTCAGGTCGTGATCAAGGAAGGGCCTCTGAAGATGGTGACCTTTGACACACACTCGGTGGGGAGAGAGACAGAAGGAGAGTGCCCCCGGGTCAGGTCGGGGAGAGTGAAGAGGCCAGAGTAGAAGCCCCACCAGGGCAGGACCAACCCCAACCAGGTTGACCTCGACCCTTGGCAAAGATGTGGGGGCAGGGAAACAAGTGTCTTTCCTCCCAGAGACTAGAACACGGGCTCCACAGACCCCCCAAGAGGGTCTGTGGATTGTCCCAACCCAGGTAGCTCACAGCTGAAACAGCTCAAGAGACCCCCACCCCAGCGCTGTCCCTTCCCTAAAAGAAGCCCCATCCCATCCCCAGCAGTCAGCAGATATGCAGGGCTCAGAGCTGACCCAGCAACACAATAAACCATCCCCTATCGACTGCCTCTGTGGTTTCTCAGCAGCCACGGGCTCCCCCAGTCTGACTTCCTGAGCGACTGAGGAGTCTGAACCCAACCAGGAGGGGGCAGGGACATAGGAACCCCACTGCTGAAGATCTGATCTCTTGTTCTCGCTTGGGCCAGCTGGGAAGCTGGTTCAGTTGGCCCTGGCTGCTCCTGAGTTGGTCCTGGAAGACCCAAGCTGCCAGTGGCACTGCCAGGAGCAACCTGGGCTGCGTGGGCAGGCACCAGCCCTGCACACTTGGCTCTGGGCTGAGGCCCATCCCCTGTCCAGCCACCTGGGCTCCCAAGCCAGGGCCTGTTAGATGTTGAGCAGTGGACAGGGTTGAGGCTTTTCTGGCTGTCCAGTCAGTGAGGCAGCATGCAGGTGGTGCCCAGCAAGTGTTAGTTCAGAGGCCTGTCTGGATATTCACTGTGTGAGGGCTCAGCCTCTGCAGGACAGTGGTGGCAGCCTGAGCTGGGACTTCACACAGAAGGTTCCCCATGCCGTGGATGCCTGGACTTAGCTCGGCAGGCTCTGGGCATCTGGGCCAAGCTGTGGGGATTGGTCTGGGAGTTTCTCAGTTGCTCATCTCCCAGCTGGTCAGGGAGGGAGGAGCTGGGAAAGGACTGGAATGAGGAGCAGGTGAGYAGGCATTGCAGGAGTCTCAACAGGGAGGAAAGCAGGACAACATGTCTCCCCCAGAGARACAGCCCAGACCAGTTTGTCTCAGTGGTGCCCGTAGGGGATTCTAGCTCCTGAGGTCTGGATGAAGGTGACAGGCATGGATGTTGAAGCCCAGGGTTGGCTCTGAAGCAGAGGGGTCTCCTAGCTTCATTGGTTGTTCCTCAGTGGGAGCACCAGGAGGGGCAGAAACAGGGCATAATGAAGCTTCTCATCCCAAAGCCTGGGACCTCCCTCCCAGGATGCAGTGGGATGTTGAGGTTCACAGTTGAGGAAGGACTTCCCAGAAGTGGAGCAGATTCAGAGGTCTGCCCCAGGCCTGGGAAAGGACAGACTGGAAAGGGTTGCCCTGAGGGACATCTCCCTCCAGGACCGCCTTGGCAGCAGGTCCTCTGGCAGACAGGACAGCGTGCCCATCTCGCCTCTGCCCAGGCCAGTTCCAGGGCTCCTAGGGTCAAAGGCAGCAGGGATGGCACAGGTGCCGTGGGCCAGATGTGGCTTGGCTCAGGACCACAGGGCAGGCTTTCCTGACCACAAGACCCTGCAGCCACCCTGAGCTCTCTGTTCTGGAGTGAGGGAGACAGTTCAGCACAGGGTAGAAGTGCTGAGGGTRCCAGGCCACCCTCAGGTCCTCCCAAGGCAGGACCGCTGGGCGAGCACAGCCAGGTGGGTGTGGGTGTGCAAGCACAAGCAGAGGCACACGGCCTGCGTTCTCTCACCCCAGCCAGGTGGAGTGCTTCTGCCAGGCTGCCCACTAGGTGAGACGTAGATGTAGAAGGCCTCAGGGCTCGGGTGAGAGGTRGGGCCTCTGCTGAGCAAGCAGGCGCAGGGAGCATCTTCCTGGAGCAGAGACACCACAGCTTCCTGCCCTGCTCTGGCCAGGTGGGCTAGGTCCCTGCCCCCAGCTGACCCCATCTACTCTGGCCAGGTGGTCTCTGGCCTCATGAGAGCCTGGGCCCCAGATGTGCTTCACCTTCGACCCACAGATGGTGAAAAGCTAACCGGTGTGACAGATGGCCGGGGTGTCCGGGCCATGCCCTCCACCCAGAGGGCAGAGGATTCCAGTGAGAGTCGTGAGGAGGAGCAGACAGTGAGTGGGGACGATGGGGGAACCCCTAGAGGGTGGCCACATGTGTGGACTGGCAGGTATGGCCACAGTCTGTCCCTGGTGGCCCGTGTCTGAGTGGACACAGTGGTGTGCGTGTGTACTGGCCTGTCGTGCCGGTGGCCACCTCGGCCTGGGCAGATGTGATGCGAGAGTGTCCTGGCCCCAGTGGGGCTGGAGTTTACACAGCTGTGAACACGGGACGTCATGAAGCTGCCCACCGGGTGTGGCCTTGAGCTCTGAACTGCCACCCTTCCTCTCACACAGCCTGACGGCCGGGACCCAAACACGCTGCTGCCCGTTGGGGTGGGGAGGCCGCCTCCACTGAACCTCACCCGCCAGGCACCCCCCTGGCGGGAGGAGGTGAGCTCTGCCCCCCTGACCCCTGCATCTCTCTGTATGGGTCTGGGAGGCTGGGGGAGGGGGCGTGGCTAACTCCCCTTCTCCCCAGTACAAGGGGCAGGTGAACCTGCACGTGTTTGAGGACTGGTGTGGGGGTGCCGTGGGCCACCTGAGGAGGAACCTGCATTTCCCGCTCTTCCCTCACGTGAGTGCCCCAGAGAGGGAGGCCAGGCGGGCCTGCAAAGCAGGGTGGTCAGTGGCCCTCCACATGAGTGGTCACTACCCCCTCAGACTCGCACCACTGTGAAGAAGTTGGCCGTGTCCCCTAAGTGGAAGAACTATGGACTCCGGATTTTCGGCTTCATCCACCCAGCCAGAGATGGTGCGTGGGCAGGGTGTGCTGGGGGAGGGGTGTCACGAGGGCCTCCGCTTAGCCCCTGTCCCGTGGACCAGGAGACGTCCAGTTCTCCGTGGCTTCTGACGACAACTCTGAGCTCTGGCTCAGCGTGGATGAGACCCCCGCAGCCGCGCAGCTTGTGGCCTTCGTGGGCAAGGTACTCCCTGCCCTACCCCAGGCCTCTTCCTTCCCGTGGTGCCCCTCTATCCACACCCTCTTTGTCCCTCTTTGGAATGGGGACTGGATGGGTCTGGACCTCAAAGACAACATGAACCCCCATAACCCTTCTGTGTCACCCCCAGACTGGCTCCGAGTGGACGGCGCCTGGAGAATTCACCAAGTTCAGCTCCCAGGTGTCGAAGCCCAGGCGGTGAGTGAGGGTGTTGGCGTGTGTGGGGGCTGGTGATTTCCGCCTGTGTACCCTGGCACACTCACACCAGCAGCAACCTGGTCCTGAGGGCCAGCCCGGGGGGCCTGGGAGCAGTCTGACCTCCTCTCGCTCTCCAGCAGTCAGGGTGCCTGGGCCTGGGGGAGAACCAGCCCTGCCTCCTCCTGTCCACAGGCTCATGGCCTCCCGGAGGTACTACTTTGAACTACTTCACAAGCAGGATGACCGGGGATCTGACCACGTGGAAGTGGGAGTGAGTGTGGCCTGCCGGGGCCAGACCCTTCCAGAGACCCCAGCTGCCCGCCCTCCCCTTCCACTCCCTGCTGGACTGCAACGTGTCCCCAGGCAGAAGGGGTTTCCAGGAGATCAGGAGGGTCCGAGGCACCCACTGGGGAACAGGGGGCTTCTCTGAAGGGGACCCTTTATCAGGGAGGCAGTGGAGGGGACCGCATAGAGGGTAGGAGGTGCAGAGTGTAGACTCCATACAGGAGAATGGAGCCCGCATCTTCCAGCATCTTGGGAGACCCCAGGGGGTCTGGTGGCCAGGTCAGGGGTTGGGTGGAGCTACAGTGTTACGCTGGACAGCTCAGCCTCTCCTCAGAGATCGGCAATGGGATTTGCATTCAGGAAGAATCCTCCAGCTGCTGATGGGTGATTGGGGGGGGTTGGGAGATAAACCAGGAAGAGGGAGGGAGGACCTGAGGTTGAAGGGAGGGAGGCGGTTCACAATAAGAGAGAGGCCTGGAGTCCTCCCTGCTGGGGTGGGGGGACCACCACCAGGGTGGAGTAGGGGTTCTCCATCCCAGCCCCATGGACTTGCCTGTGTCTGGCGTGTGTAGTGAGTGTCCTTGGCAGGCTGGAGAGAGTTTGGAGTGGCCCTGGGAAGACTGGGGGAGTCTGTGAGGGGGTCCAGGATCAGCCCCTGGGAACCTCAGTCGGAAGAGCAAGACAGGGGTCCCCTCTGCAAAGGAGAGCAGAAAGAACAGCCCTGGGGTGGGGCCCTGGGAGGGCACTCTAGCAGGAGATGCTGGGCCTGGCCCTGGGACAGCTGGCAGTGACCTCCAGAGGGCAGTAGCACAAACCCAGGCAGCAGCTGGGATCTGGAGCCGTAACCAGCAGGCCAGGAAGATCCAGGGTGGGTCTGGGTCTGCCCCGGGGACCCGCCGCCTTTGGCACCTCCTGCCAGTTAGCCCTGCTCCAGAAGGTAGGACGCCCCCCACATACTCCCTCCCAAGAACTTCCTGTATTCTTGTAGGGATCGCTTCCACTCCCCCAGCCCCAAGCCAGGGAAGACCCTTCCTCTTTTCCCTGAACCCAGTCTTCCCTGTCTCTAACCCCAGTGGCGAGCTTTCCTGCCTGGCCTGAAGTTCGAGGTCATCGGCTCTGCTCACATTTCCCTATACACAGGTACGGGGCTAGAGACCTCCTYGCGGGAGGGGGCAGCTTCTGATGGACCGGCTCTGGGTTGGGGTGGGGACAGGCTAGGAGGATCCCCTTCACCTCCTTCTACCAGCAGATGAGTCCACCCTGAAGATGGACCACGTGGCCCACGTTCCCCAGTCTCCAGCCAGCCACCTAGGAGGTCGCCTGCCACAGGAGGAGCCCAGCGCCGACATGCTACGGCCGGACCCACGGGACACCTTCTTCCTCAGTGAGACGGGACCCACCAGGGGTGAGGGTGGGGTCCAGGCCAGGCTCCAGTCTGACTGCCCCTCCCACAGCCCCTCGGATGGAGCCTTCGAGCCTGGAGAATGTGCTGGAGCCCTGTACCTATGCCCCCACCTACGTCCTCAAGGACTTTCCGATCGCCAGATATCAGGGACTGCAGTTCGTAAGTGCTCCTGACGAGGTGCGGGAGACCGGCCTCCAGCCTGCCCGGAGACCGCCCTGACCTCAGCCCCACCCCCAGGTGTACCTCTCCTTCGTCTACCCCAACGACTACACGCGCCTCACTCACATGGAGACTGACAACAAGTGCTTCTACCGGGAGTCGCCACTGTACCTGGAAAGGTGGGTGGGCGGTCCGTCTGGAAGTGAGGCGGGGCCTCGGCAGGGCAGGTATCTGACGCCCTGCACCACCGGCCCCAGGTTTGGGTTCTATAAATACATGAAGATGGACAAGGAAGAGGGGGAAGAAGACGAAGAGGACGAGGTGCAGCGCCGTGCCTTCCTCTTCCTCAACCCTGACGGTGAGTGCTGCGTCCCAGCATCCCAGCACCCCCGCCTGCCCGCCTGGGCGTGGCCAGCTGACCTGCTTCCCTGCAGACTTCCTGGCGGAGGAGGAAGAGGGGGAGTTGCTGGACAGTCTGGAGCCCACCGAAGTGTCCCTGCCACAGGGCAGCCACAAGTCTCCCACCCCAGCACCGCCCACGGAGACTGCTATCACCCCTGTCCCACCGACACCACCCAGCCCCCTGGACCAGCACACCCCCAGACACTCCCGGGGCCTGAGCTGGGCTGCCCGGGCCGGCCGCCCCCTGCCCCTCTTCTTGGGTCGAGCTCCACCCCCACGTGTCGCAGAGAAGCCGCCCTCTAAGGTGTATGTGACGAGGGTACGACCAAGACAGCGGGCCTCCCCAAGGGCGCCTCGCAGCCCTCTCTGGCCTCCCTTCCCTGGTGTCTTCCTGCGCCCCAGACCCCTGCCCAGAGTGCAGCTGCGAGTTCCCCCACACTCACCACGGTGGGGCCGGAGGACCGGAGGCCCCCAGGCCATAGAGCTGAGGCCCCCRACCCGGGCGCAGGCCACCCAGGGGGATCGGGAGGGCCGGGCACTTGTGCCGGGACTGGCAGCGCTCTCGGCGGACTCGAACTCATCGGCCGAAGCGCAACCGGTGACCTCCTTCCTGAGCTTGTCCCAGGTATCCAGGCCGCAGCTGCCTGGGGAGGGCGAGGAGGAGGAGGAAGGGGAGGATGACGGGGCCCTGGGAGATGAGGCCTCAGAGGACAGTGAGGAGGAGGGCGCTCGGGCTCTGGGCCGCTGGCAAGAGGACGCCATCGACTGGCAGCGCACCTTCAGCGTGGGTGCGGTGGACTTCGAGCTGCTGCGCTCAGACTGGAACGACCTTCGCTGCAACGTGTCGGGGAACCTGCAGCTGCCCGAGGCTGAGGCTGTGGACGTGGTAGCCCAGTACATGGAGCGGCTCAATGCCCGCCACAGTGGGTACGAGGCGCCTGGGAGAGGAAATGCTGGTCTGGGACATTCCCCGGGGCTCAGCAGTGTGCTGGTCTGGAAAGATGCACTCCACCCTGAGCTTTTCTTTTGGGTCCTAGGGATTGAACCCAGGGGCGGGTAACCACTGAACCACATTCCCAGCCCTTTTTATTTTATATTTTGAGACAAGGTCCTGCTAAGTTGCTGAGGCTGGCTTTGAACTCGCCATCCTCCTGCCTCAGTCTCTGGGCTGACAGCATAGGCCACCTAGCCCTGAGGCACTCCACCCTTGGGAAGCCCCAGGGGGCTCTTCTCCCCTGGGTCCTAACGACTTGGGGCCCTTGTCCAGGTTCAGGGCCTCCCTGGAGCCTCACCAAGAGCTGGCTCCGTAAAGCTTCACCTGTAAATCCCACAGCTGTCACTGTGCACCTGAACTCAAGGGTGAATCCAAGTTTCAGGAGTTAATGGTCAGTCTCAGCCAGATACTGAAAAAGGAGCCAGACAGACACCGAGGGTCAAGCTCCAGACCCCTAGACCCCTCCTCCCCTATACAATGCTGCAGAGTCTTTACCAGGGTCTAGTCTTGACTCTCAGAGAGGGTGCAAGGTTCCTGCCCGACTGCCTGCCCCAGGCCCCAGCATCCAGCTACCCTTCACCCCACAGTGGCCCTATCTTTTCCTCTGGGGAGTTTCCAGAAGGCCATGGAGTGTGGTAGCCACCGAGGAGATATCAGATCTGCATTCGATAGGCAGGTGGGCAAAGGATTGCTGGGGACAGGAGGCCAGGCAGAAGATAGAGACCTGGAAGGTTCCCAGCAGGGCCAGGGTTGGGTCCAGGGTTGTATTCAGATGTGCTGCTGCCTTCGGGAAGGGTGGGGCTCCTGACAGGCCTGGTCTAGGGCAGTGGTGGACCCTCCGGTGACTCCAGGTGGCTCAGAGGGCAAGTCTGCCCTTCCTCTAGGCGTCCTGAGAGCACCTCATTGTCCCATGAGTAGGAGAGGGTGTGGCTGTGACTCCACCTCTGCCCACTTGGGTGTGAAGGTGCAGGTCACCACACAGAAGATCAAGAGCATTTGGGGCAAAAGACTCCTGACTTGGAGAGAGTGGTCAAGGGGCAGGAGTCGAAGGGGGAAATCTGCTGGCCTCCAGGGGTAGGTGGGAAGCCCCGTCTGAGAGCCTTCGCATGCAGACAGGGGACACCCCAGAGAATGGAGGGTGCCTGGAGGAGGGGTCAGCGCTGGGCTGGGGAAGCCTCCCAGTGTGGGCTGCCCTACTTTCTGCTCTGCCCTGGGGAAGGAAAGCACAGGTCAACCTACCTCCTTTCTGGGAACTCCACGGCGGGGTTGGGGTGTGATGTGCCCCTGAAGTCCCCATCCTTAGTGGCAGAGTCTTGGAGCGTCCGGCCCTGGGCTAACCCCACCCACCTCGTAGGCGCTTTGCACTGCTTCGCATAGTGAATGTGGAGAAGCGCCGAGACTCGGCCCGGGGAAGCCGCTTCCTGCTGGAGCTGGAGCTGCAGGAGCGCGGGGGTGGCCGCCTGCGCCTCTCGGAGTACGTCTTTCTGCGACTGCCGGGAGCCCGCGCCGGAGACGCAGACGGCAAGAGTCCCGAGCCCCCTCCGGCTGCCTCTGCGCGACCTGATGGCCGCCCAGAGCTCTGCCGACCGCTGCGCCTGGCCTGGCGCCAGGACGTCATGGTGCACTTTATCGTACCAGGTACTGGTGTGGTGGGTGGGCACGGGCAGGTGGGGCCGCCGAGGCCCCAGGAGGCCTCCGGATAGAATGGGGGTGCTGATGCCAGGACAGGGTGTGGGGTGGCTGGGTCCAGAGCAGTAGGCTCAGTGGTGCCCACTCCTACAGTGAAGAACCAGGCCCGATGGGTGGCGCAGTTTCTAGCAGACATGACGGCACTGCGTGCGCGCACCGGTGACTCGCACTTCAGCGTGGTCCTGGTGGACTTTGAGAGCGATGATATGGACGTGGAGAGCGCCCTGCGTGTGGCACAGCTGCCCCGGTAATGGCATCCTCCACCACCACCACCTGGGAGTGGCACATCTTTTCTCCTTGGGAGGTGTGTCTTCCCGCCAAGGCCACCTCTAGGATCGGTGCCTGTGACTTCCCCTCCCACAGGTACCAGTACCTGAGACGCACTGGAAACTTTGAGCGCTCTGCCGGGCTGCAAGCCGGAGTGGACGCAGTGGAGGTGCGGGCCAGACAGGTTTGGGGCAACGAGATGGGGCGGCCCGGGGAGGAGTCCATCTGTGGGAGGAGAGTGTGGGGCTCAGCACTCCTAACCTCCAGGACCCCAGCAGCATCGTTTTCCTCTGTGACCTGCACATCCATTTCCCACCCAACATTCTGGATGGCATCCGCAAGCACTGCGTGGAGGGCTCGCTGGCGTTCGCACCTGTGGTCATGCGCCTGGGCTGCGGGAGCTCCCCTCGAAACCCTCATGGTAATGCCCTGGATGCCCCGGTGATGCCAGGGTAAAGTCCAGGAGCCTGGGGACCTCTCCCCACCTCCACCGCAGACCTCTCCCCACCAGGGCCCCCAGAGTGCCCAGACACCAGAGCCTCTGGTTTGGGGCCAGATCCATGAGCACCTCCCAGTGCCCTCATGGTGCACTGGGCTTCTGGCGGTGGCCCGACACCAGAGGGTGGTCCCCGGGAGCCACAGAGTGAGGGGACCCTGCACCAGACCCCTCCTGAGGTCTCCCACTGGCCCTCTGGGAAGGAACCTGGCAGGACCAGCCTGAAGAAGGGCCTCCCCGCAGGTTACTGGGAGGTGAACGGCTTTGGCCTCTTTGGGATCTACAAATCAGACTTTGACCGCGTGGGAGGAATGAACACCGAGGAGTTCCGGGACCAGTGGGGGGGCGAGGACTGGGAGCTCCTGGACAGGTGACTGCCCCCCCCCACGCACTGAAGAGAGTCCCATCCTCACTGGGAGGGTGGGATTCCAGGGCCCAGGTGCTCAGAAGACCCTGCCCTCCTCCCCCTCTTCCCAGGATCTCATAGGCCCCGGGGACTCGCCCCAGACCCTGGAACCCCTTCCCACCCTCAGAGTCTGGCAGACCCAGGGCAGTCCCGACACCCGGCTTCTGGGCGCGGGTGCTGACACTCCTCCACCCACCCCAGGGTCCTGCAGGCAGGGCTGGAGGTGGAGCGGCTTCGACTGCGCAACTTCTACCACCACTACCACTCCAAGCGGGGCATGTGGGGCACACGCAGCCGCAAGGGCGCCCACCCGGAGCGGTCCTGAGGATGCGGCAGCCCCCAGGGGGGTCCTGTGGCAGCAGCCGAGGGCTGTGCTCTGGGCCCTGTCCCAGGCACAGCTACCAACCTGGCCTGCCCCTCTCCACCCACCCAGGCTCCCTCCGGCCCCCGCCTGAGAGGCGGACTTCACARCTGGTCGGGGCGGGCCACGGCGATCCCCACAGTCCACGATGATTTCTGTGAAATTTTCTGTAGCGATGACATTGTTTTCAAGATTTCCAAGAGTTCTGTCTGTCCCAGTTTTTATTCAGAAAGAAATGAAATATTTTTTTTAGTTCCGACTTGTCCTCTGTGGCTTGTGCTCTAGGGAGGCACTGCCTGCCCCAGTGCCCCTCACTTGACCCCACCTGCCCTGCCCTGGCCTTCCGCCTGGGCCCCAGGAGTTCATTTCTTCCCCGACACCCCCTTGTGCCGTCTTTGGTCACAAGGACAGGTGGCGGGGGGCCTTCCCACACATGCCAAGACGGGCTCTCACTGTCCCCTCGGCTTTAAAAGCAGAACATGGGGCTGGTGCTTCTGCATCTTCCCAAGGTGGGGGCCTGGATCCGGGAGCACTCTGGGTGGCCAGGAGTAGGAAACCCAGTTCGTGTTGGGGTCGGGCCCAGTGGTAGAGGACACCAAGTCCCCGCTTCATTCCCAGCACTGGGGCGGGGCGGGGGGACAACTCAAACTGCTTACATTATAGAGCCGGGGAGGGCTGGTGGTTTGACGTTCGCTCCTGCTGGGAGAACACTGAGGGTATATTGACCAGAGCCTGGACAGTGCCACTGAGGGCCACTCTTTCCTCTCTGTCCTCGGGGTCTCGGCTTCATCTCAGCCTGGGTCCAGGCCCAGGAGCCAGGCAGGTGCTGTACCCACGGCTGGCAGACAGTCCCTCCAGCTGGGGAGCAAATCAGCACAAAGGTGGTGGTTGAAAATGACACCGATTCATCCCACAGCTCTGAGAGCGCAAGTCCCAAGGCCATGGCCCGACAGGGCTGCTTTCTCTGGAGACCAGGCCTGGCCCTTCCTCGCCTTCTCCCGTGGGGCTTCTCAGTCCTGCTCCTTCATCTTCAAAGCCAGCAGCTGAGGGACTGGCTCAAGTTCATGTGCTCCCCCAGACTCCTTGCCCCTCCAAGAACCCTGTGATGACATGGGGGCCACCCAGGCAACTCGGGGTCCCTGCCCTCCCCACGTCCTCATGCAGTCACACCTGCAAAGCTCCTTTGGTTGGCCGTGAAGTTAGGAATGAGGGTTCCCTGGGGCCACTGCTGTCTGCCTCCTTGCTCACGCTGGGTGGGAAGGAGGCCGGCTGATGGTGTACAGCCCTCCCTCGGGATCCCCGCGGGTCGGCCCCGGGTGGTCTCAGAGAGGCGAAGCTGGAAGGACAGAGGTGCCTGTTCAGCCCTGAGACCCCCAGGGTAGCACTGCTGGAAGGGGCAGTCCTGGGGCAGCTGGCCACTGCCCAGCCCGCAGAGACTGGCAGACACCAAGTTTCCTGAGACTCGCTGCCTACAGATGAGGACCCAGAGGACAGAGACTGGCCAGCCCCAGATTCAGTTGGAACTCCAGAGGCCTGTTCTGTCCTCTGCTCTCAAAGAGGTTGTTCAGACAGGTTGTCCCCAAAGATATCTCATCATGAGAAAAGCAGCACTGGACTTAAAGACAAGCTACCCAGCACGGTGAGATGCGGAGAGAAAGGTGGGGCACGCTGAGGAACCGTTGGCGGCAGAGGAAATCTTGAGGCCAAATCCCACGTGATGTGGACTCCACAATTTGTGAATTCATTTGATGGTTGAGCATCCACTTGTGTCAGGCCCTGTCCCTAAAGGACATTCACCCCAGCACAGGTCGGGAGGCACATCAGACACACTGTCTGGGCTGGTGGCAAGTGCTGCAGAGAAACAGCCAGAGGGGACATGAACTCTGGAGCAGGGGACTTGCCGGAGGTCCATCTCTCACAGGGTGGGCAGGAAAAGCCAGGCTGAGAAGGTGGCGCTGGAGCCCTGCAGGAGGGCGCAGGGGGGCACCGCCAGCTGGAGGGGACTGGAAATGAGGGATGAAGACCATAGAAATGAAAGTCACCTACGACACTTGGGAAGGAGAGAAAAACAAAACTTGCACAGACATAAAATCCACTCTAGCAATTTCTAAGAACAGCTGTTGGGAACCCGGTGGGGGCGCAGGAGAAACCCTGAGAAAAAGCACACAGAAGGAAATGACATACAGCAGATGCAAGGCCTGGGACTGGGGCTCAGGTGGAGCGCTCGCCTCGCCTGCATGAGGCACTGGGTGGATCCTCAGCACCCCATAAAAATAAAATAAAGGTTTTTTAAAAAGCTGATAAAAGAGAAAGGGGAAGATGGACAGCAAGCCACCCACAGGCACCAAGACAACAGGAGAAGACCTCTGTGACACAGCGGAAGACTTCCGCGGTCAGTAGGGAGGGAGCACAGTCTTCAGCACCAAGGGCCACCAGGCCTGTTGACACACCTCAGTTCCCAGCTGTGTGACAGGCTGAGGCAGGGGAACTGCAAGTCTGAGCAACTTTGAGAGACCCTGTCTCAAAACAAAAAAAGGGCTAGATGTGTGGCTCAGTGTGGAGCTTTTGCCTGGCAGGTGCGAGGCCCTAGGTCTGCTCCTCAAAAATAAAAATAAAAACAGCAGGCCAAAAAGTGAGCCCGTGCATATGTAGATGAAGGTTCCGAGCTCCAAGCCAAGACCCTGTGGCCTCGGACTGGTAGACCCTGCCACCCAGTCGGGGCAGGGGGCTCCGCCAGGTGGGGTGGAGCACTGCTGGGAGCCAACCAAGGGATGGAGAACAGAAGGGCACAGGACGCCCAGCAGAGGAAAGGACTCACAGGAGCAGGAGCGCTGTCCTCCAGCCAGACGTCAGCTTGCTGCTGAGAGAAAGCACGCAGCCGTGGCAGCAGGGACGCCAGGGAGTGGCCCGGACCTGGCGAGGGAGCAGCGGGGGCTCTGCAGAGACCCCCGGTTCCACCAGTCAGCTCCCGTCCCCAGACCGCTGCTGCTCTGCTGCCCTCAGCATCAGAAACTCCTCTAGACACCTGGCCGGCTCTGCAGCTCCTGGAAGCTGGCCAGCCTGGCAGAGCCTCAGCTGAGGTGCTCCGAGTGTGAGAGCTGGAGGCAGCACCCACCGCCCAGCCCTCTGTTTCTCACCGGTGACAGCCGCGCTGCTGGGTGGAGCTTCTTTCCAGCCCCAGCCCAGCCCTGGGGCCCCTCCAGCCACAGCCCTCCCTCTGTTGCCCTGACATTCCTGCTCCTCACAGAGACTGGGACCCCCTCAAAAGAGCATCTGAAGGTTCCCAGGGCTCCTGAGGCTACCTGCTCCCCACAGACTCCTCGCCGGCTCAGCTGTTCTGCGCCTTTTGGGTCCCCTGTGGCCTGACAGGCAGCAGTTCTGTGGGTGGCTGTGCCAGTTCACGTCTCTGCCCACCAGACCCACGGACAGAGGCGCCGCCAGGGGCATGCCTGGAGCAGAGAAGAGCTCAGAGGGCTCAGGAGACTCCTGAACCAACAAACCCGGGGCTCATCGGACCCATGGATGTGGGTCAGCCCGTGCCCAAGAAGGTGCCACCCTGGAGCAGACTGGTCTCCTCAGCTGCCTCCATGCCCGTGTGGCCTGGACACCAGCCGAGGTCAGTTGGCACACTAGCAGTCCCAGGAACCAGGGCCGGGGGCCATGCTGCCCAGGGAGCAAGTCCTGCTAGGTTCTTTGGAGGAGGCAGCTRGTTTGGACTCTGCAGAGCCCAGACCCTGGGATGTCTCGAGGTTTGCAAGCGTGAGCACCGCCACCCATGGGTCTGTGGACCAGAAGCACCTCCAGTGCCTGGAGCCCCGCAGCTTTGTCCCCTCTCATCCCTGGCATCAGCTGGACACCAGGGCTGCACCAACACACTCTCACCCCACCCCTGCAGGCGGGTGGCCACAGTGGCCTCCTTAACCTCTCTGTGAGCCAGCACACTCCTGACTTCTGCTCCCTAGCAGGGTCACCCCTTTCCCACGACCCCCCACCCCGGCTCCGGACCCACGCAGGCTTGCCCTCCACCCCTCCAGACTCCACAGCACACACCTGCAGCTCCACCCTGCTGCCTGCCGTGACAGCCCCCCACCAAACCTGGCACCGAGAGTCCTCCCACTCTTACCCTGCTCTCTGCCAGGTGCCGCCACCTGGGGACCGGGGCGATCACCACTGTCACCACGGAGACCCCTGGCCTCAGGTCCTCAGCCTGGCTGCATGGAGCTCCTGGGGAGGGTGGGCTGTTCATCAGCTCCCTCCAGGCTTCAGACCCCCTGCTGCGGGAGCCTGGCCTTCCTACACTGCTCCTGCCACACAGTGGCTCCAGGGAGAGAGGGACACTCCCCGAGGGCAAGGGGCTCAGCAGGCACTGCCTGTCCCTCCAGCCTGGCAGCCATTAGAGGCAGTGCCCAGAATTCAGGCTCCGCCAGGGTCGGGGAAGCCAGCAGTCCTGGCCTGGGGACCTGCAGGCTGCCCTGGCCTCCTGTCCAGGCCCTGTCCAGGCTGCACATCCAGGTCTGCTCGCCTCTTCCTGGCCGGGGTGCCCACCTCACCAAAGCCCCTTGTACCCAGGTGTGCTCCGGCCTGCCACCCTGTGCCTCTCGACCCTTGGACCATCCACCGGGGCCTGAGTGAAGGGCGGGCCCCACACGGAGCCAGGCCCGTGCCTCCAGGCTGCTCAGCTCCGCACAAACTTGTCTCCCGGGATTTTTCCACACGAGACGCGTCTCCCAGGGAAGCAACCGGTCTGATGAGCTGGGTGTGCGCCGTTCACCCCTCCCTCCAGTGCCCCCACAGGGCCATCTCCCACAGAGGCTGCCCACAGCAGCGGGGCCAGGATGGAGCCCAGGACGCCTCAGCGGGCAGCAGCGTCCCCGGGGTTGAGTCCCAGGGCCGGCGGGACCCGGACCTCAGGCAGGGTAGGTTCCCCACCCCACCCTGCTGCTCCAACCAGACCCCTCCCTGGG